CAAGGCTCATTGGACTGCGGTAAAGAATATTCTCAAGTACCTGCGGAGGACTAAGGATTGGATCCTTACCCTTGGTGGGAGTGATGACTTGAGAGTAGTAGGGTATAGTGATGCTAGCTTTCAGACTGATAGGGATAACTTCCGCTCTCAGTCGGGCTGGGTCTTTACCTTAAATGGAGGGGCAATCACTTGGAAGAGTTCCAAACAGGAGACTGTAGCTGATTCGACTTGTGAATCAGAGTACATAGCAGCGAGTGAAGCGGCAAAGGAGGCATATGGCTGAGGAACTTCATCGGAGACCTTGGAGTTGTACCAGCTATTAAGGAGCCTATGGAGATTTTCTGTGACAGCAATAGTGCGGTTGCCTTAGCCAAGGAACCAAGAGATCATGGCAGATCCCGACACATTGACAGAAAATATCACTTCATAAGACACAAGATAGAAGAGGGACTCCTCGTGGCAAAGAGGGTATCGTCAGATGAGAACCCTGCGGATCCCCTTACGAAGGGACTGACGAGGGTTAAGCATTTGCAGCATGCGAGGCGCATCGGGCTGAAGGACGATATTAGTTTTACAGATTAGATAATTTTTCTGAAACTTGTAAAATGTAATCGACGTTTGATGATGAATAAAATGTGTGATTTATTTATGAGTAAAGTGTTACTATCATTGTCAATTATTTACTATTGTTTCAGTTTTGCATGTTTTGACTTCCAGAATAATTAATTTATTCAAACTTCCACAATCAGTCATACGTCGGAAGTAGGTATGAATCAAGATTGTCATGAATTGGGTTTGTAGATGGCTAAAGGTGTTTAGACATAGCAATGGTTGCTACAACGTTCATGAGTGCTCATAAGTTATGAGTATTGGAATAAACCCACGCTCACTTGTATCACTTCATGGAATTTATCTTGAGTGATCGTGAGACGGTAATATCATATAAGTCTTCAAACCTAGAGATATGAGTTGTTACCTATGAATTGGTTGTGCATTGATTGCACGTAAACGCATCAGTAACTTGATGTTATAAAACGTGCCTTTGTGTACAATTCAATAAGTAGTAGAACAAGCATATGAGTCGAAGTTTATCTGTTCCTTCTAGAAATAGAAGCGATATCTGGGCCCCTCGATGATTTTTTGTTGACCCATGTACCGGGCCCGGTCAGAACTAAATTGATGTGTTCAGTTAAGTTCTTTGTCAAACAAATCGGAAATCGAGAAACAACTGCTAGACAATAAGTAAGACATTGTTCCATGTATTTGTCCGGCTGATATCATGAGAGCACAGGATTATATGATCACTTATCTAAAATGGCGCTTCATAGTTCACAAGAGTTTTCGAGAGCTACGATTGCCGGTTGGTTCCTGAAGTAATATAGGCAAATACAGTTATTAGACTTATCCAAGTGGGAGTCTGTTGGATAAGATGTCTAAGTCCATAACTTATTTGGTATATACTTGACCCGACCCGGCATGGTCCATTTGGGTTGCACTTCACCCAAACTAGTTATGGATAATTTTATGAGAATTGTATACTTACGATTTATTAATATATTATAAGTTATAATATATTAATATAAAGTCATGTTACTTAATTAGTTTTAATCTTGAATTAATTATGAATTAATTTAGTGATTAAAAGGAAGACTAATTAAATCATGGGCTATTATATTTATATGGTGTGGGCTAACACTCATTTGGGAATGGGCTAAGCCTATATGGAAGTCCATGGATGATCCATGGAGCTTTTACCCATGGATCCTTGGAAGAGGAAAAGACATGGGTTATTAGGGTTTCACCCTAACCATGTACACTATATAAACAAGCTTATGTTGCATGAAAAAGACACTAATGTGTGTGTAAGTGTGGTGGCCAAAATCAAGAGTTAGTATACTCTCTCATATATTTTCCAAGTTTGTGGTGATTTGTGATTTCCATTTGAGGCATTCACATTATTGGTGCTTGGCTCTCAAACTCCAAGGAATCAACAATCAACAAAAGGTATGTAATTCATCTAGTTCCTTTATGGTTAAAAGTACCCCATGCCATGCTAGATAGGTTATAAACCTTGGAAAATAATATTTTGCATGTATCTTAGACAAACATAGATCCAAGGTTTAATAGGGTTGCATGTACACTTAGGAAGTGTTAGAATGCTCAAAACCCAACAAAAACTTCTTCACAACCGTAATTTCTTCAATCTTTTCACCTAGAGATCGAATACCGGTTACGATAGTATTCAATCTCATGGAAAAATCATCTACCGATTCACTGTCTTTCATCCGGATCACCTCGAAGTCATTTCTCAAGGTTTGAGATTTAGCCTCCTTGACCCGATCGGCTCCCATGTGCATCATCTTGAGCGTTTCCCATGCTTCTTTAGCTGTGTCCTTCTCAGCTAACATCAGAAGTACGTCCTGTGGAATTGCTTGATAAATAGCCGCAAGAGCCATCCGATCTTTACGTTCGTCCGTTTCTGCATTTTTAATTACATCCTATACTCCTTGTGCTTGTAAATTCACTCGCATTTTTATGGCCCACACCGCGTAGTTCATCTTCGTGAGCATTGGATAGTGTAACGTAACGCTACCGTCTTTTCCCGGTCCTTTGAAAACTTTCAACTCCGGCTTGAGAAGATGACGAGGTTGGTGTAGTCATTCTTGGCATATACTTGGGCATACACGAGTAAGAATATATATATATATATATATTTTTTTTTTTTTTTTTGAAGTACGGGGACCAATATGAACTTTTCAGAAGTTCAGGGGGTAAACAGAAGTTTTACAGAAGTAAAACAGAGGCTAAATTGAAATTTTTCTGAAAAACGGGACCAAAATTGTAATTTTTCTGAAAAACAGGGGCTAAATTGCACTTTCCGGAAGAACAGGGGCTAAACTGCAATTTCCAGAACATTGGTCAGCTGCTGACGTCACTGCTGATGTTACTGCTACAGTGCTGCTACAGTGTCGTCTTCTCCGGCGAACCCTGGTTTTTCCGGCGACTTTTCCGGCAGATTTGACCAACTTTGACCGGTGATTTGGAGGCCTTCCGGTGGTCAAAAAATTCAAAAAAATATATTTTCGGAATCCTCAGAACGAGACATTTCCAACGGTGTACTCCGAAATTGTTTTTGAGACAAAAACTTTTCGACCAAAAAACAGAGAATGCTTCCCCCCGGAGCTTAACCAAGCTCTGATACCACTTGTTGGGGTTGAAACACACTTTTATTCAGAACTAGAACAAAAGAGAAGAGCTTACACGCTCAATATTACAAGAAAAAGAAACAACCCTCTAATACTCACTCTAAGTATTACACACTACACTCTCTGTTTGTGGTGTCTTACAACTGAGGTTAGAGCCTCTATTTATACTTAAACAAGCCTACAATTACTACTGCTACCATTTATTGTGTTCATTATGTGAACATACGAAGTTGCCATTTGAGTTCTTATTGTCAACATAGATAGAGGTGCAGTTATTGATGTCAGGTTCACACCAAGTCTGGTTTACACTCACAGAGTCTTGGATCCAAATGCATGGCAACTTAAAAGCTCTAATGATTCATCATCGTTCGACAATTTAAGTTTGTGCACGCGGCAGCTCCATGATATGGACCCAAACCATGCATTTATATCTAGAAGCCTAGTTGTTATTATGATCCTGCTTTGTGTATGAAAAGCCCTTGTTCCAAGTAAAGCATCTAATTCATCATGCTCATCAATGTCATCAAGAACAATAAGCACCTGTTTCACTTGTAAGGTCTCCTCAACCTTCCTTGTACCCTCAGATACACTAGATATATTTGCATTGTTTCCCCCTAGAATGTCTTTGAGAAGTTGTTTTTGTAGCCCAAGCAAACCATCAGATTGTTTAGAGTGTTTTCCGATCTCTTCAAGGTAACTGCTGCTTTCAAAATCTTGCTTGTTTGAGTTATAAATGAATTGGGCCAGAGTCGTCTTGCCACTGCCTCCCATGGCACAAATTGCTAAAACATTATCAACAGATTGCTCATTTTTCAACCAGGTATTGATACTTATAGCTCGAGTGTCCATTCCAATCAGATGTGCTGGAGTACTTAGTAATTTCATATCTAGTTTACGGTTAACTGTATCAACACTTTCTGCGATAAAGTCTGTTTCAGACCTGCAAGAAAAGAACAAAGAAAATGAACACATTCTGAGCATAGCATTTAATCTTCTTAATGTTTTAACTGCTTCAGTTATAGTGCAAGGAATTCAAACGCTCTAGCAAATGAAATATTCTCCCTGCAACCATTAATATCAACCAACTAAATATGATGAACTGAGGTGTACATACACTACTAGAAACATGGGTTTTAGAGACGGAAGTATTCGTCGCTATTCCGTCACTAAATGTTGTTTGCAATGGCTCAGCGACAGATTCACTCCATAGGTAATTAATAGGTGGCTAATTTCTCAGCTAGGGTTTTAGCGACGGAGAGGTTTTTCCTTGCGACAAATGTAGCAACAGAATATCCGTCGCTAAATGTCACCCAATACATTTACTTAGGGCATTAGCGACAAAATTTGATAAAGTCATTCTGTCGCTGTTCTGTCGCAAATTTCCGTGATCAGTTTTTTTCGTAGCAAATCCCTTGCAAAATTCATATACTGATATTTTTTGTTTTCCGTCGACGATCTGTCGCAAACTTTAGACATGGTTTTTTCCCTAGCTAATCCCTTGCAAAATTTATACATTAATTTTTTTTTGTTCCGTCGCAAACTTTAGACATGATATTTTTTCCGTAGCTAATCCCTCGCAAAATTGATGCATTAAAATACTTTTTTTATTCTTACCAATCCGTCGCGAACTTATAATATCATTTTTTTTATTATGATTCTAAAAGAAAAAAATACTACAATCATCAAATTTTTATACTAAAAAACATCAAATAACGATACAACCAAACATTACAATACCAAAACTATCAAAGTTTACCAAAGTATCATTCAAAAAACATCCAAAACCAAAACTATCCATATAACATCAAACTCCCAAAGGTTTAACTTCAAAATAACATTTTAACACCAAGAAATCCAAAGTATGCAAAAGAGGTACAAACAAAAAAAAAAGTTTAACCTTCAAAATAACATTTTAGCACCAAGAAATCCAAAGTATGCATCGGGAAATGAGTTTTCACAAAACATAACTTCAAAATAACATTTTAACTGCTCTCTTCATTTCATGTCCATCCAATCATCTTCGGTTCTCATTCCTATAAAACATTATTCAAAACAATCAAAAGTATCAAATACAAAAGGTTAACAAGTCATTCAAAAACATCAAATACTAATGGTTAACATCATATTACCTCTAATTTTCAATTTCCCATCATATCTTGCAAGGCTGCATACATCTTCTCCATTGCTTCATATTTTGCATCAATTTGTTGTTGTTTGGCATCTATTGCTGCAGCTTTGGCATCCATTTCCTCACGCATTTGTTGATGTTTAGCTTCCATTTCAGCAGCTTTAGCATCCATTTCCCCACGCATCTCATTTCGTACACGTTCATAGACAACCTAAAGTACAATGATAGGAAACTTTGTAAGTACAATACCATGATAGAAAACTTTGTAAGTACAATGCCATGATAGAAAACTTTGTAAGTACAATGCCATGATAGGAAACTTTGTAAGTACAATGCCATGATAGGAAACTTTGTAAGTACAATGCTATGATAGGAAATTTTTATAAAGTACAAAATTAAACGAACCTTTTGGGATGTTATTGTACTAGATGTTCCTTCCAAAAAGCTCGCTGGATCAGACACAGATCCGAATTCATATATTCTTCCTTTCTTGACTCCTCCGGAAACATCACACCATGTTTCATTATCCAAGAGGGGGGTGGCAACTAGTATCATCACCAAACTTAGCCACCATAGCACTTTCATAAGCCTCCTATTATAGCAAAAAAAAATATGAAAAAACAGAAACATGAAATAAGGAATGGAATGGTTCATTCCATTCCATTAAATTCATAATCAAGGAATGGAATGAACCACTTCATAAGCCTCCTATTAATTAATACTCAAACCTTGCATAAAGTTGATTACTACTTACAAAACACTTAATTACAACTAGGCAGAGGATCAAACATTTAGAGATAATAATTTGTTTCTTTTCTTTTGTAAGTTGATTACTACTTACGAAAGATTTGTTTTCTGTCAATTTGTTGCTTTAACAAAGTTATTAACCCGAGTAGTAGGAAGTTTTGTTTCCTACAAAATAATTAAAAATACCTTAACTTTAGCTGCCTTTGGTGTAATGTACTCTTGAGTAGACCGTTTAGTGTGCAACCTTGCATAAAGTTCAATTCCTGTAGGAGGGCGTTTAAGTGTTGCTTGCTACAAAATCCATTAGTAATACATTAAAAAAACAAACAAAACTCAATAGTCTAAGTGGAAACTAAGGTGAGATGCAAACATCTTACCATTCTTTTCTTATGTTGACGAATAGATATAGAACCCCCGGTATGTTTGGAAACAGAGCCATCTTCTAATTTATTTATGTTATTTTTCCCTGATTGTGATAAACGTTTCCATTTGGATGTGGTCCACACTTCATTGATCATTTTTTCCCAATACTCCTTTTTTATCCAATTTGGGTGATAGTCCTTTAGCAAATTTAAATCACCTTCTAGTGAGGCATTCACATTTGCAGCTTTGGCAAGTTTTAAAGATTCTTCACGTGCTCTTCGCATTATGTCAGGAAATCGTTTCTTCATACAGTCTTCCCATACCTTGCGAGCAAGAACATCAGTCTCTTCGGGCCAGACATACAAACCCTACATGTAGATCACGCATACAATTATCTTTTTCATTTTACACCAAGTTTTACTTTGATAAATCATAAAAATAATAAGTACAAACCTTGAAGTGTTCCCACATTGCATCACGATGTTCTTTGTCAACCTTCTTCCATGAGGTCCATGGGCCGTCAAACATCGTCTTCAGTATACATGTGATGGCTCTGATCACTGAAATCTGATCCGTAAATCTTGCAAAAAATAAATAATTAAAAAAATTAGCATTAGTATTATCATTAAAAAGTAAATTCATTTTCATAAACAATTGTAAAATTAACATTAGTACTCGTTTTCAGAATCGACTTCAATGAACTTCCTTTTTGATGGGTTACTTGGAACTTGTTCCAAGATGTTTGATCCTCTAACTGAAGAAGAAGGTTGACTTTCTGCATTATTGTGTGATTGAGATGCATTTCTATCTCCAGCATCACGACCACCAATGTGACTACCACTGCGACCACCACCACGGCTTATTAGTCAAAAGATAACCCTTAAAATCAAGAATTAATAAACTATTGGTTAGAACAAGTATGTATTATAATAGAAAATTATAGAAGTAAGAGAAGGTAACATGCTATAATACACAAATAAATGAAAGTGCAATGTATATAGAAAAAGAAAACGATCATTTTAGCTAAAAAGTTATTGATAAGGGCCAAATTTAAAGCAAAATGAAGTCATATAGATAAAAAAACACACAAAATTCTTATAGGGACCATATCTGAAAAACAATATATCACAAGGACCAAATTTGTAATTTACTAGTTAATAAATCAATCTTGAACTCTTTGGTTTACTAGTTAATAAGCCCGGGCAGCAATAGGAAAATGAAATTGTACAACAAATCCTCAACAACTCCTGCTTTCAATTCCACTGAAACAAATACAGTTTTAGATCAAGAAGATGATTTGAGTGAAGATTTAGATCAAGATTTGAAGAATCAAAAGACGAGTTTTCTGACTTTGTGGTGTATCAAAAGGAATTTGAAATGGAGCCACTTACTAGTGAAGAGTTATGGTGGAACTGGAGAAAACCAGATAAAGAACAATGGTCCAGGTGGCAGAAAAAACAATGATCCAGGTGTATCAAAAGGAATCTAAAATGGAGCCTCTTATATACCCTTGAAATTATTGTGAAATTACTTATATACCCTTATTGTTTGACTTCAGGTGTTTCTCAAGGCCATGGCAGAAATTCACCAAATTAAGCTTTTTGGTGAAGAGCCAACTTTGACTGAAACAGCTCTTTATAGAGCTAGAAAGCATTTATATAAAGAAGAAAGGTATAAATCATAATTCATAACTGAATGTAAATATGGAATAACCGATTTCATTCCGTTATGTGGTTCCATTCCAATGAATGGTTTAGGCTGCAGGATGAACGTGAGAGATTGCAGAAAGAAGGTCCATCACGTGAATCTATTGAAAAATGTCACAAATCTCACAAATCAAGGAAGTAGATAAAGAGTTGGTATTGAAGGAATTGGAATTGGAATTGAAATTGAAACTTTTCTTGTGAAATTGTAGGGTTAAAAGGGTATTTTAGTATTTGTTCCAACTGTTTGGCAATTCAAGGAAAGGGGCTGAAACTTGAAGACATTAAAGTTGTTCTATCACATACATCTAATGATCCTTCTGCAGTGAAGGTTGTTAAAGTGCTGAAAGAGAAGCCGAAAAGAAGGAATAACAATAACAGCAATATCAAGTATAAATGGAGTTGGTTTGATTCCTTTTTTGGTGTAATTCTTTTTTCTTTTTTTTTGTGTGTAATTTCTTTCTTTTTTATATAGTCCATGAGACTCGGCGTAGCTATTCTTTCTGTTAAATCCCGGTAAAGTGACTATTTTGCCCTCAGTCATGTATTTTTAGTACTTTTTTATTAAACCATAAGGACAGTAATTGGTGGAAAATTGCAACCATAAATGTTAGATAGGATAATAAGAAAACTAAAGCTGGATACATTAAAAGACTTTACAAGAAATAAGAAATAACAAATTATGCTTTCGATCCACACGTACTAAAAGTAAAATGCTATAAACGGTTTGATTTCTGAAAATGCAATATGCAATTTAAAAAAAAAAAAAAGAAAAAAATTGAAAGTCCAATGCTATAAATGGTAGATTTCTTACACTAAAAGGCCTTGATATGAAATAAAAGTTGGATTTTCAATAACATAATGAAACCTAATAGTACAATGTTAAAATGGATTCATTTTTGATAATTTAGTGTCTTAATAATAGGAAAAGTGGAATGATAAATTGGAAGATTTTTCGAATAAAAACGCATTGCAAAAAAAACAGTTTTAAAAATTACGTTGAAAAAATAACTTTTAAAAATTACACAGCTTTAAAAGAATTAAGAATTAAAAATACAGTGCCATATTTGTTAAATTTTTTAATATCTAATAATGATTGAAAAGTACAATGTTAAAATGGGTTGATTTTTAAAAGTAAAAATCCTTGATATGAAAGAAAACTTGAATTTTTGAATAACATATTGAAACTAAAAGTACAATGCTAAAAATGTGTTGATTTTTTGAATGACAAGCATAATGACCATCTTATCCCCCCGGCCCTTATCAAATTTCTATTAAAAATACAAAATTTAGGGCAAATTCGTCATTTTACCATATAATTCCAAAACAAAATGAAACCACAGGGAGAAAAAAAAATCGCAGAGGGGCTTATGATCTTTCACTGCTGGTGGAAAATTGTTGCAGGTGTGGTTCTATTTTTATCTTTTCCTGGTTTTAAACTATTGTTATATCATGTTTTTCAACAAAAAGAATTATGTGAATCTTTCTGAAATCATGTTACCAAAATATTTTTTTTGTTCTTTTTTTTTTTCTGTAACCAGATCCAGTTAACAAGCATGCAGGGAACTTACAAAACAATCAAACAGCTAAAATATTTTTGAACGGAGAACAGAGGATAAACTTAAGTGTCACGACTATTATAAATATTTTTATCACAACTAAAACCAAATAAATATTTGATCAAATCTAAAATAATCACACCTGTTTGAACAGAGAACAGAGGAGAACAGAGGCTTAACAATTGCTTCTCTCTTGAACTATGGGTAAAGCAGGACTGGAACTTCTTCACTCCCACCTCCTATTTAATAAACATGAAGAAATAAATATAATGTAAGGCACATAAAACATAAAAAAAGAAGAAAAACACTTTATACTAAACTACATTTTGGTAATCCAAAAAGAAACAGCCCATATATAATGGTCCTTTTAATTGCTTAGCCTATTAAGTGAAAAAAGAAACAACCCCTCCATTGGACTCAGTTACTTAATGTGTTACTTTTTTTTATTGTAATTTTGTTTTATTTTGATATACACATAACACATGAATGTGATTGATTTTGTTTCAGCCACCAAAAAATTGGGCTAAAAAGACACAATATCATGATGGACTCTTCTTCTTTGATATCCCAGCTGCCCACCTGTAATACATAACATAAAGCCTTACCCCATATCATGTTGGAGCTATACTTGATAATGTAACAATACTTCTTTCAGTTTCTCAATCTATATTGTCATATTCCTTCTAACTGATAACTGATTGCTTTTTCTTCTACTTAATAAAGATAATATATGCACGTGCCTACACATACGAGCATCAATACAACCTTTCAGACTTCCTGTATGCCATTCTTAACCCAAATATTCTCAATAATTCAAACGTATACACCTTTTCCTGATATATTCATTCATATTCTTAATCAAATTATTTCACAGATTGTTGATTCAGTCATTGCTCTCTTCCGAGTAGACTTCACTGGAAGAGGAGAACTTGCAGAACGCCAGGTTTCTTATTTCTTACAGCAAAAGTTGGCTCAGATGCTCTCCCGATTAACAAAGATTGCTGAAGAGTTCAATGTAGCAGTGTATATGACAAACCAAGGTTCTACTTCTACTTTTCACTGATGAATTTGGAAACATATTGAAAAAAATGAAATATATTCCAAGAAAATATTCATTCAGATCAAGCCCTGTGACATAAAGCCTTACTTCAATGAGCCTGGATATTCTATCACTCAAAACCATGTTAAACACCAAACACTCCATCCCTCCCTTCTTCTTCTACTTCTTCTTCTTCTTCTTCTTCTTCTTCTTCTTCTTCTTCTTCTTCTTCTTCTGTTGTTTGAGGATTTGGCAAATGGGCATTTTCAGATCCATGTACGAGATATTCTGGTGCAAGTTGGGTGTCTAGTGAGAGAAGGCGTACAGGATGTGGCTGATGTGGTTGCATGTGTTAAGTGTACAGAAAACCAAAACTCAAAGTCATTCATCTGTACCTGCATTTGCACTTGAAAATGCAATCATATCCACATGTTGTTGTATACATCACAGACAATTCAACTACATCAACATCTCTCTCTCTCTCTCTCTCTATGTATGTATTTATATGTGTGTGTGTGTTTATGTGTCTGTGTATATCTCTCAGTTTACACCCACCCCATGTGAGATCCATTGGGAAACTCCACCATAAAAGTCACAAAACCTCATAAAGCAAATGATACCCTTATTTGTCTTGTTATTACTCTTCCTCACCCCTCTCCCCTCTGATCAAACCTGTGTTTTATGCTTGATCTCTAGATCTAGAACAAGGCTCTCATACCACTATGTTGGAATGAAGCATTAGATGAACACAGAAGTACCAGAAAGATAAGAGAAAAGGAGTCAACTAGAGGATGGGTCCTATACACAAACAAATACTTTAATTGATATAACATTATAACCCCAAAAAAAATTACATCAGATTTACATACATATAACTATTCTTATAGTGTAACAGTGAAATTTACAACGTCTCAATATGCTATGATTCAAACCATACCGATTCAAACCAACACAATTAATGGGTCACATATATAGTAACCATTTTAACCAGAAACATAATACTTATTAAATGTTAGTAATTAAGAGAGTTTAGCTTAACTTTAACAGATCTGAAACCAAATTTGATATCTGTTGCTAACAATATACCCTACCATTGATCCCCTATGCCAATCAGGCCATAGTATTGCAATTTACAGGTTGGGTGTTTGCATAGAATTACATGGGCATAGCCTCATGTCAGCAAATGGTTTATCGTCTTTTTGATGAAAAATCATGTTTTGAGATCCTCAATAGAGGGTTCAACTGTTCAAGCAGGAATTTCAGACTGAGTCCTAACTCCTACGTGAATCCATTTGCATCAATAATTTGTTACGACTTCCAAAGTACACAAGCAAATTAAAGGCAACTAAGGAATACCATAAATTCATTAGGCATAAAAACATGGTATATAAAGACATGGAAAGAGAACAATGATAATAATATGGGGACCTCAACTAGTAGCTTCTGATATGTATGAAGCTCCATGTATAATGGCGAATCTACATGGATGATAAGGTTGTATATTCAGAGAGGAACAGAACTTGAAAGACTCCAATGGCTATCAGAGTATATATCTCAAGATACATGGAGGGAATTTGAAAAATTCCCATGCTAATAATGCCCCCTGCCTATGCTCATAATGTCCATGTTCCTCTTCTGTCTATGCTCATAATGTCCATATATATTACGCCCAAAACACCTTGAGATTTTCCAGCTTTAACAACTTTGTATATCAGGGGCATTGTATTGTGTGGTGATGTTTTCTCCAAATGTGTAAACTTAAAGAAGCTTACTCTAGAATCTTTCTGTATTAATGTGACTGTGGAGGAATTTGACATCATTACCAATTTATATTCTGACTTTAACCACTTTGAAAACCAACATCCAAACACCACCAAACCATAAGAGGAATGACGATGGAAAAAGGAAAAAAAAAATGGAGAAATTAAACCCTAACGTAATATATTGTGCAACTGAACCAAACCTAACCTAATATATGACTAAAACAAATAAAATCAAGAGATTTACCTGAATCGGAAGTTAACGAAGAATAATTTTAGATTTTAAGAATGTGGAGGCTGTCGGAATCGGAAGTTGCAATGGTCCGCGGTGTCGTAATCTGTTTGAACAGAGAGGGTGAGATTAGGTTGAGCAAGCTGCAACTCGAGAGTGTCGTCAATTTCAGATTTGGGTGAGAGCGTGTTCAATTGGAGTGACAAATCAGATTTGGGACTAAAGGAAACTTACACAAACTTCGTATCAGGAATTGGAGTGTCAATTTCAGCGAGAGATCGTCAATCATAAAAACATAACGTGCGTATGCTCCGTCGGCATTCTCTCGCTAAACACATACCAGATGGCCAAAAAGTCGACAATTTTGTTCCCTCGTTGAACCCTCGCCAAATGCCTTCGTTTTCCACCGATTACCGAGGAATAAGGGTGCGTCGATAAATACTTATGAGATCTGTAGCTGATCCCTCGCTAAACACTCTCTAATATGCTAAATGTTGAATAAATGAAATAATTGTTTAAACCGTCGCAGATTTCTCGTAATTCCCTCTCTGTAAGCCTAAAATACAGATTTAATCCCTCTCTAAATCCGTAGCTGAAACTCAAGTTTCTAGTAGTGATAGTAAGTGTATATATATGCTATCTGATTGAATTAAGTTTTCAATAATGCAAAGGCCAAAGTCAAACCAGAATACGTGTTATGTTATAAGGCTAAAGGGAGTGGGGGCGCCAAACCCACTCGCCAAAAGCTTGGCATGAACAAAACACCACCTCATTCACCATGTTAAGCAATGACGGAGTTAGTAGGGGGCTGCCGGATGCTTGGCCCTCCTCAACGATTTTAACTAAATGGTGTAAACTTTTGTATATATTAATAATATAGTTACCAAGCCCACATGGAATGTATGTATAAACATTATAACCCCCTCTATTTTTATTTATATTCAATGTGCATCCTATAATTCTCTTATATGACTTAAAAGTTTTACTAATGATTTAACTTTTACTTATTTTATTACCCCACTCCCATAAATTCCCATAAATACATGATCCTATTCAATTAGAAATCACCGATAGCATCTTCGCTACAGTTTCCATTTCAAGTCTACAATAATAATGTTATTTTTAATTGTTATTTTATTTTTAATAATTTCTTAATTTATAATTAATTATATTATTACGATTGGAAATTTGGTTTTTTTTTATAATCATATAGTAAATCATTAGTAAAAAAATCATATTATCCAACATCATCTTTTCAAACGAATTGAAAAGATGATCTTGGATAATATGAATCAATGTTTATAGTCGATTAAATTTTGAAGATCGATTAATATAATGATCGATGTAGATTCTATATAAATGAGTTTTTCCTTGTTGATTTCTATTTTAAAATTTTAGACCCTATGACTTTATTCAGGCATAATATTATATTTTAATATATTATTATGATGTAAGACTCTCGGCCCCCCTTATTCATAAATTTTGGCTCCGCCCCTGATGTTAAGCAATGTACTAAGAAGAGCTCGCTAGTTCACTAGCGAGAAGAGAGAGAAGAAAATATTCTTTGGAGTTGGCTGTCATTGGTCCTTTTGTATTGACTTTCTTTTTTTATTTTTTTTCTAAAATCAGAAGGCTGTGATTGGTCATCTTTTATTTGCATTTTTGTTTAAATTTTTTTCTCAAAATCCAAGTGTATATATTTTTTATGACAAAAGATTAGGTGGAAGAAAAAATCTGATATTGCATGTCTTAGCATCTCTTTGGCATGCGCCACCACTCCCCATAGCCTAAGTGTTTTAGTTTTAGTTTCACTTCTCACTCACTATTTCACATCATATACACATGGTGAATATATGTATATTCTATATTTGTAGTAAGCCATTAATAAGTAGGAATCGAATGGCATAATGTCTTTACATAAGCAACTGAACTGCTATTTTTCCAATCAAGTAAAATTGCAATCTTCACTATAAAGAAAGTTCAATTATCATGCTAAATGTGTCCGGAGACAAGGAGAAAAGCAAAGGAAGTATGTGTAAAGTAAACCAACCCCATAGACTACTATAGAAAAGGACATAGAATACTACGTAAAAACATCATGTCATACAGACGGGTAAGCCTCTAATCATCTGGTTCTGCTCTTTGCATAAATATGTAAAGCCATAATAGCAAAAGAAAATTCCATAACTTATCTTTTCAAGAAGCATACCTGAATTTGTTCATCTGCTAAGCACAAATTACGATTCCTTGTCATATTTAACACTCCGTTGAATTAATCAAAAAGGGTTTCCAAAGGATTAAACTATAAGCATGAATAGAGAAAGCATACCCTGAAACAACGATGCCGGTCAAATCAGCAACCTCTGCAAGGGCTGCCTTCCATCGATTGACATTATACTCTGTCCATTTTGACCCTTCTGCTCCTTCTTCTACATTAATTGCGAAACTTTTCCTTTGGTTCCTGACATCTGAGGGATCGACATGGTAAAACACCGGTAAAACAAAATGATTAAAGCTCCGCCTTTGCTCAAGGATCAACAGCAGCTCATCAAGGCACCATCTTGAATTCGCATACTTCTCTGACAATACAACTATAGAAGCCCTAGATTCTTTGATTGCTCTCTCGATTTCCGGCTTCAGTTCTTGACCTCTGTCGATATTATCATTATCCCTAAAAGTGCGAACTCCTGCTCGCTTTAAAGCTGCATGGAGATGATCTGTAAATGAATTCCGAGTGTCTTCACATCTAAAGCTTAAAAAAACGTCATGGCAGCTGGTATGATTTAGCAGAGAAGAAGAACATGAAGCAGACGCCATTGAAATTAGTAAGACGAGAGGTTGTTAAACAAAGGGGAAATATAAAGGCATCAAAGTCACACCTCCGGTCTCCGGACCCCGTCGGTTTGGTCTTTTGCAACCAGATGCTTACTAAAGACAAAAGGAAAATCTATTAAAATAATATATAAAAAATAAAGATGGCCACCAACCCGGTTGATATTAAAGGCGAAAGTTGTGCACGAGTTGCTTCTTTT